TATAATTGCTACTTAATGTCATAGTTGTGGCTTCAATACACATTATTGATTAATTCTAGTTTTAAATTAGTTATTTTATATGTATCTATAAAGAATGATTATTTAATACCTTTAAGTTCAATATCCTTTTTAATATAACTTTTCTTATTGCAAATTGATCGTAACAAGCAATTGAAATTGAGCCAATTTATTTTTCCACAAATTTGTATACATTTTCCTTGTAATTTTACTAGAATATTGTGGCGGTAATATTAACACAAATCAAACAAGACATTTTTAATTAAGTTTTCACTGTTCCCAAAAGGAAGACAGTGTAGTTAATATCCCCTTGCACGAACATAGAAAATTGCATGGAAATCATAAAGCCAGCCATTTTGTTGAAGGTAGTGAACAAAAAATCAGACTTGAACAGCCAGACACATACAAATTGCTCGCTATACAATCTGTAAAGGACTCAGACGTAAGGACATGAATGGCATATTTGGCGTTTGGTATAGTTGACTGAAATTGCACCAACACAATTTAACTCCAACAGCGTTATGCTCGTCCTCGTACATGAAACTACATAAATTCCTTTTTATGTGAAACAAAAAGATTGTTTTGCTCCACTTTAAGCGTTTTTAATAGACTGCCTTGGCTTTAAAAATATATATATGTACATATTCTATGGTGTGAAAATGCATGGGTGATATTGTTTGTATTTAAGCTGTAAAGCGTTAACTTACGCCTGTTTCTCATATAATTTGTCTAAAAGAGACTTTAGGTGTCTTTATTCATACAGCGCATCTCATCTGCCCTATTGCTGAGGTACTGTGTATGTCGATATGAAAGCGCTAGTTTTTATGTGTTTTTAAAGGTGTCAGAATGGTATATTACACAATTTGTTATGATATATGTTTAATTTGTTTGCTTACACCTTTTATTTCTAAAATAAAAAGTATGTAAAATTAAATAATCAAAAATAAATTTAATAAAAATAAAAAAAGTTGAGTTTTTTAGGTTATATTTCTTGATATTTCTTCTGGTACAAAAAATTAAGTTTTGAAAGATACCAAATTTCAATCTTAAAAGACACAATATAATTAAATACAATTATTATTTTTCATTACATGTATATGGACTTAGTCGGATTCTAGGTACAGTTCCAAACTGTCTGTATTCAACGACATCGGATTATCTGAATTCATGCTAAGGCTTTGAAACAAATTTTTAGACAATATTTATTTCAAGAAACGAATAGAAAAGAAGAAACTCTCAAGCAAATTATACTATTTCTATTTATACGGATGGCGGATCTATACGGATCTATTTATACGTGTTTGGAGCAGAAATCTTCAGCATGTTGGCAAATTGCAGGTAACTTCAAGGACAGATATAGTGTTCCCACTTTTATTGCCAGCCAGATAGACATCAAAGCCCTGGAATCGATCATTACACAATCAAAAATGGTAAAAGAATGTAGAGGCACACGACCAGCAAAACCGATTGGCTGACATCACCCTGCACATAGGAATGTCGAAATGAACGATAAAGCTGACAGTTTAGCTCTGTTGCTTCTCTGGATGCTTCTCTAGAGATACCGGTTTATGTTACCCTAGAGATCATTAAAAGTTTTACTTACCTCTTACATACGTTTCTTTAACTTGCCATTTATAAATGGATGTTATGTGCAACTTCCCGGTTAACATGGACCACCTATAACAGAACTAGAGCTTGGGAACTCATCAAAAGATATCGTGGCAACACTACAAGACTTAATGCAGTTTTTTTTGCTCATTGGTGTATAGCCACCTATACTAAGAAACTGTGCCTTCGTTATAATCCTCATGGATTTAGTCTATATTCTTCTATCTTAAGAGTTAAGGGTGATTTATATTTGTGCCTTTATTTCTTTTATTTTGCCAAAATAAAATTCGATGTATTTTCTTAGTAATTATAGTATATATTATCAAGTATTGGATAAAGGAAAAACCCTCGATATTATATTGCTCAATTTTTAATTTACTAGATTAAAATTCAATACAAAATCTGTTCAATTCTAAATCTGAACAGATTTAATTGATAAGAATAAAATATGTTGGGTATATTATGTAGTGCTCATATAAAATTTCGTGGTAACATATGTTTTAGATATGTTATCGTAATGTACATTGACTTTTTTGCTTTTTTTAGTATGATCGTAGAATATATGTTATGCATTTTTCTGAGCGAGATGGTGTCAGCTTTTGAATTTTAATTGCACTTAAAATTAAAATTTACACTAAATGCGGAATATTTCAAAATTTTTTTAAATTAAAACAATATTTTTTTTCATTTTATTGGTATTTCCTTTAGAATTTTTAATTTTAATATCTTGCTAGTTTTGTATAAAAATAAAACAAAAAATTTTAGTAACAGAATTGCGTTGGTTTCTAGGTGAGAATAGATGACAAAGTTCCCCTAAAGTTATTAATTTTGAAATTTCCATTAATTGGTAATAAATATTTTCATTATTATTTTATGTGAAAAACTTTGCATAATTGTAGTACAAAAAAAAAAAAAAAAATTCAAGATATGAGACAAGTGCTTTCAAGTTACCTTTTTTTTTAGTTTCTATCAAGAGTTGCATTATTATACCGTTTTGCTTCTTTTGGTAAGAGACTATGCAGCTTTTCTATGTGATGGGTTTAGTACTATGTAGGGAAAATTTATGCTAAGGTATATATTATTATCATAAAAATATATAGTTTAATAACTCAAAGTAGTTTCATGCTCTATAACCGGTGAGGGGTTTGAGTGCTGCATGTCGTTCTTTATCCGCAAAGCAATAAGTTATCAAGTGCTTGACGTACCGCACCAATGTGCCCGGATATCTTAAGTGCTTTTCAGTAAAAACAAAGTTTGTACAAACTTAATTCTTTAGAAAATAGTTACAAATTTAATTTCGGTTTATTGAGTATGAGATCAAGTACTTGAATGTTTTCAGTGGAGTATTAAAGAGAGAATTTTATGCTACGTTGTGGCAACATTTTTAAGTTGCAAAATTTTTAACCATAAAAGCTTTGAGTAAATTTTTGGTTAATTTTATTTGCAGTTCCTTGTTCCCTCCTTTATGCGCAAGGATATTGCATCAAACAAGTAAGTAAACAGTTTAATTATGTTGTCCTTGCAAATGACAAAAATTCAGTGTAAACAGTGTAAACAGTTTCCTTTTATGTTTATAAAGCAAAAAGGAAAATTTACTAAAATGGACTTCTTGCTCGAAACTTTGTGCATTGAAAACTACTGAAATAGTTGCAAAACTGCGTAAGTTGCAGAAAACAAAACATAAAAGTTTATTAAATTGCAAATCGTTTTACTTAAGTTTTATGAGAATAAAATTCAACAAGGATATTTTAGAAGTGCAACAAAATTACAAAATTAATTTAAAATTATCACATTTTTTTTATCTGTGTACTTGTAAATTTTGAACCGAAATGAATTCATCTCATTTATATACATTATTAAAAGTATGTTAAATTTATTCAATATGAAAGTATTTTTTAAAGATATTGTGTTTGAGATAAGGATACGATATTAAAGTTAAGTATATATAAACTGCTTTCTGTTATAAGATTGTAAATTATCGCTTTAAGGTAGAAAACTGGCGAAAAGGGACAATAATTGATCGGAAATACATCTAAGTACTTTAAAAGTTTTGATGAAAAGTTCTCAGATAAGCTCTAAATTATTCTATGAACTTAAAATAATAAATAATAATATACAATGTTATTTAGATTCATGAAAAGTAGAGCTAGTCAGATGTTTTGGATATAGTAGTTCAATCTATTTGTATTTGTTATTTTTACATTTAAGATGCATATCGCAACTCGTCTTTCTCTAGCTCTTATTACTAGGATAAGGATAGTTTCATAGACGAGTAGCAGTTAAGAACGCTATTATGTCCTTTTGAGTGATGTTGCCTAATTTCGTTATTATGGATAGACAGTTGATAAGTACCGAAGTCTGAGTCTGGCGCGACTATCACAGTGACGCAGAATGAGTTCTGCTGTTTCCCCTTCTTCTTCCGCAGTTCGAAAAACTGAGTTTTCTTGACTCATATACTCGCAAATATTTTCTCTTTTGACTTAACTCCATATACTCCCGCCCTCACTCCTTCGATCGTTTTGGAGACATCCGTGTACTATAGATGGTAGTTTCCAACGAAGGCAGTGATACATTAATCATTCAGCACTTGCAAAGAAAAGTACTTGTCGTACTCGCTTTGAAATGAATGTGACTATATTTTAAGTACCCTTTAAAACTTCTATTTATTGCTATATAATGGACTGCACTCTATCTTTCCATTTCAAAATAAATTAGTCTTTTAATTTCCACGAAAATTAATGAATAAAAGCATATATACTTTTTTAAAAGTGATCTTGAACATTTATTGGAATATTGAAAATTAGTCGATTATACTCCATGTGTTAGTAGATAGTGCTGGCTGGGAAAAATCAAAAATGGGCGTATTACATCCTATACTACAACATTATAATTAGACATTATTAAATATTATTATTACAATAATATAAAATAAAATTATATTGGCTCAAAACGTTAGGTCAATATTTTTAGTATATGTACAACAGATTCAGTTAATTTTGGTTCCAAACTTCCGTAAGAAAATTTAATAATTACAACAAATTAAATCAATATTTTAAGAAACATATTTTTATGTTTGGATTCCAAATGAAAATATTTTGTTTCTATATATTGTGACACGTTTTTTAAGTAAGACATAGATCAGTCTCCAATTATACTTATTGTATATCAGCCATATATAACAGATTGATTGTTTTAATGAAAATAAGCTCAGTAAATTCTTATGACCTTGGTAATTTCTGTTTCCAGATAGTGTTATTTTCTTTAATAAAAAAAAAAAAAACAATTTATAAAGCATATTTTATTAAATTAAATTAAACTATATATAAGTAGGCAAATATTTTCTTTTGAAAACAAACCTTAGAAATATTATTTTTAAAAATGTTGTTTTGAAATTAAGTATAAATTTATAGTCTCCTTAAAATGTATGCGTTGCTCTTTAGGCCGATAAAATTTCTCAGTAGAAGTAAGATTCCACATGTTACCAGAACTTTAACCAGTTCAAGTGAATTTGAACCTGGTTCATTCTTAAAGGATAAGCCACCGCTAAAGAAACTTAAACTATTTCCGGAATCTTTATATGGCGGTGAACATTTTGTTACTTTACTAACTGGTACAAGTCCGATTGGAAAACAGGGTGCTAATTACATTAAAACACTATTTAAGGCAGCCAAAATTCCAGTCGCTTTCGAACGTATTGACGTTGGTAACACTAATGAGTACATAAGATCGGTGTTGCGAAATCGAGTATGTCTGCATGTTGATTCGCAGCATGATCCACAAGAAAAGGCCAAGGCTTTAAAACTCAACAATAACTTGGATTTGTTTGCTTGCATTATTAAGTGTTTCGGTCATGAAGGATACAATTGCAAGTTCCCAGATGCTAATTTAACTATTGCATCGCAAAATAATACTGGCGACTACGATAAATTGGAATATCAACCGGTACAAGGAGTGGTTGAAACACTATGCATACATGAGGATGACTATACGCGGCGTTACCTAAAATTTGTATTGGATTATGCAAAAAAAAATGGTCACAAACATATAACAATTGGTGTAAAACGTTTGTATTTACCGCGAAGTGATGGTAGGTTTTTCGATTTAGCATGTGAAATACAACAGGAATCTTATCCAGATATTGAACTTTTGGAAATGGATATCGAAAAGTTGGTATATTATATAATAAAAGACCCATGTAAGTTCGATATGATTTGCTGCAATGATCGCTATGGTACGTTTGTAGCATCTGCTGCCAGTGCAGTTTGCGGTGGTGCAAGCTTATTTGGTGCGTGTGAACTCAATAATACTCACGCAATATTTAAACCTTTACAGACGAAACTATCAATTACGAGCTATCGTGAGCTAAGTCCTTATGGTGTTATCCGATCTTGTATTGATCTTCTCAGATACTTGGGAAAATGTGAATGTGCCACTGCTATGGAAGGAGAGTTGGCAAGTATTTTAAGCGCTGGAAAACCAAGAACTGTTGAATTTGGAGGAGAGGACTCTGGGGAATTTATTATCTGTAATATCGTTAACAAATTGAGATGCAAGTTTAAATAGCATATATTTTAAAAATTTTGTTAAAGAATGTCATTGTGCAAATAAAAACTCATTTTCGTAATTATAAACACGATGTATATAATATATATATAATTTGAAAACAAATTTTTAAATAGCACATCAAAACTATTACTTTTGGAACTTGTAATACCCAAATTTTATTAAATTATTAGAATTTTAATAGCAGAATATTAACTGCTGTCTTACTAAAACAGTCAAATAGTTTGCACAAATATAAAGGAATCTGGTCTCTAGTGTAAATAAATAATCTATCCAACCTCGTCTCTTCGGTCTACTTTTCGGTCTACGGTCTACTTAAGAAATTATTATTTACATTCCTAAGATCTTAAATGACCAGGAAATCTATCAGCTTATCAGCGATTTGTCTATGTGAGAGAATCTCTTTAATGGAGCGGACTTATATGAGAAGTATTCATGTTCTCCTTATTAATCGATTACTGTAACATACATCAATAAGTTAAATATTGCAAAGCAGTTCATATATATCATTAAATTCGTAAAAGCAAGTATGGAAGGAGAAACAGAAGAATATATAGGTGTAACACACTTTTATTTATATGGATAAAACTAAATAATTATGTAGGTTTAATTAAATTAGATATTTAAAATGATTTAAACTAGATTTTATTAGAAATTAATTAGATTATTTAGACTAATTAGATTAAACAATCACTCAAAGATTTTAAAAATTGGTTGAGTTTTGGATTTCATGATTTTGTTCGAATAATTTTTATATGGATATTTTTTTTGAAAAATAGTGACCGCTCTCTCTCTCTCTGACAGCGCTGAGACTGTTAGAACTTTATACTTTGTGATTTAAAATACGCACTAAAACAGCACTAAATAATAGTGCTTCATTAGTATGGAATCTAATGACAGCAATGTGAAAGGAAATCGTGTCACAGATGAGCAAGGAATAAAAAGTATCAGGACTCAAATTCTTCTGAAAAAATATATCGCGATCATTGCTCTTTTATTTTTTTTTTTCTCATCAGAAATATTCGTTTAGGCGGGTTCTATTTATATGATTGTATAGGTGTATTTACATATTGAGATACTCACTTGGTTAAAAGTGTGAATGCGTTCCATTTGATCTAAGGTGAAAACAGTTGTGGTGTAAGCTATTATCTTTTATAGTTAAATAATTTCGCAAGTTTCCAGTATTGTTATTATAAGCAGCGAATGCTGCAAGAGTTATGGTGGCAAGGAGATATAACAAATTCCTGAAGCATTCTCTTTGTTCTTTTTTAGCACATAGTGCGGATTTTTAAGTCTAGTTCGGAAATATCGTATGTATTACATTTTATTCTCGTGTGTATATTAAATGGCTCTTAACGTGTGTTTTCATTCTGATCGGTTACCAATAAGTTTAACTAATCGCAACACTTATTTCCTAAATATCATGTAGTGCTTATCCACAATAATAATTGAAAATAAAATTCAAAATTATGCAAGTATGATTATTCCACGCAGGTGTGGGGTATACACAAATTTTACATCGTTGTTGATAACGAATAATGAATAAAATCGAAACAAATTTCGATATACTTGTTGTAAGACCTTTTAGATAGCCATAACGTGCATTTACCATTACATGAGATTTTTAACTCAAGTTGCTGAAATACAAAAGACTGAAGATTTAAATTGAAGTATAAATGAAACCCAATTATAAAATTGTTGGTTCAATGTTTACTTATTGCCAGTAAATTAAACGGTAAATGCAAGGATTTCATGTAAGCTCGGATGAGTAAAAGATATGCTATCTGAGAATAAAATAAGAATATACAATGACATACATACTTCACAATACAATTATAAACTAATTATGTGCGTATCCTGTTAAAGGGTAATTCGCCTTTACATATTTGCGAATCATTTAAGGCCCTCGCCGTTGTTGCTTGTTACACTATCGAATTAATTGAATGCCAGTAAGGATACTCGCATAAGGATGCGTAGCAATGCATAATGTAAAGTAAATGCTTCGTGTATTTAAAAAACATAATTGTTTATAGGTTAAGTGTATTCCAGCTCAGGTAATAAAGTGAAATATTAATTAAGCAGAAAATAAAATCAAAATAAAAAATTTAAATCAAGCGTACATTATGATGCATATATGTAGTGATTTTGACACCAATATTTAAAAATGTTTCCTAAAAAAATGCACTTCTAAATTTATTTTTAATTAAAATTTGCACTTAGCACACAAAGCAACAATATTTTTTTTAGAATTAAATGTCATTTCCGTTAAAGTATCATTTCCTACTAACTATTTTCGATATTGCACGACAGTTTGGTTGGAGTCATATAGTCGACGACTTTTACCTATGGAAATTTTGAACATTAAAAATTCAACAAAAATCCTGAAACTTATAAAATGCGAATTTATTTCTCGTTTCAATTATTTTGTGCAGCTGTATTGTGTATTGCCAGCTGGCGGCAAAAATGCTTTTAAACGAACGGAAATTTTATGTACGCGGGAAATGGAAAAATGTTGCATTTATCAGTAAACCTAACAAAAACATACTTACTTCTGCCGCTACTAATAAACGACAATATTTTTATTTACAATGAATTTGTGTAATATTTTTCCATTTCGTACTTTTTCGCATTAATCATGATAAAATTTTCAAATCATTCCGAAAATATTTACTTTGTGCAATGCAGTTGAAGTGCAAATGCAGTTGAAATATTGGAAATTATTTGAAAAAAAATTCTATTTTCCTACATGTGTTTGAAAATCATAAAAGGTATTTAATTTAATCGTAGATATGCAATTCATAAAATCGAAACGCTATTTTAGTACATTTGAACAGTTTTACAGCTCTAACTATTTTACAGATGTAAGATATCTTCAAATTTGAATTTACATATATTTATTTAATAAAAATATTTTTATATTACACACTAAAAATATTATTAGTACAACAATGACAAAAATGATAAGAATAAAATGACATCTATTAAAAATAACCATTTTCGTCTACTCATTAATGCATTTCACACATTCTGAGAGTTATTAAGCGATTGATTTGGATTGCTTTAAGTTACATATGGACTTATATTTGTCAAAATTGTCAAAAATGAAACGACAACCCAACGCAAATTGGTACACGATATCTTATATGATGTCAAGGCTTTTTGGGAATTTAATGAGTGCTTTAATGAAATTAATCTAACACTAGTATTTTCATAAGTTGGAATATTGACACTATCTCCAGTCAGACGTATATACCACTGATATCATTGGAGGATTCAAATCAGTTGCACAGTAATCATTCACAGAGGAATAACAGACAAAGAAATAATGAGGTTGCACATTAACATAAAGAAAAGTAAATTCATGATGGCATCATCTACAAAGTGAACATATCAGTGGCGTAACTACATTTTTTAGGCCCATAAGCAAATTCTAACTAAGGGGCTCCTACTAACATATTTTTATACCTTTACACGAAAAAGTCTAAAAGGGTATATTAAGCTTGTCAGATTTCATAACGCAATTAAAGAAACGTTAAAATATATAAAGTTATCAGTATATATATATATATATTTTTTCAGTTCAAACTACTCTCTCAGTTTTGAACTCTTCGAATGAACTTTACACACATACTTTTCGGGAGCAGACGCTGTTACCATCTGATTTGATTGAAATTAGCCTACTAATTCTTATAGATGTATTATATGTATTTTAATTTTTCCTGACAAATTTTTTCAATCCCGAAATCCAGAACACCATTGATTTGTTTGATTAGAAAATAACCAGCACGGCTTACAATATACTGAATCTAATAACTTTGAATAGCATAACCAAAGTCGTGGCACTGTTCCATATTTTGTTTTTAAATTATAGTATGAAGCATTGAAACTTCTATTTTCTTGAATAGGATCCTTCGGCAATGGCCATTGTAATATCTCGTGGTCGGAAGAATTAGTATGTTCAGTATTTCTTCTCTCGTGGTCGGAAGAATTAGTCTGTTCAGAAGTCTGTGTCAGTATTTGAACAATGTGTCAATTTATTCTGTGTATCAAAATTAGCAAAGACATCATTTAAATCGTTTACTTCTTCACTTTTGTTTTCATTTATTTTTACAAAATTGTCTAGTTTTGGTAATTTCTTTAATGTTTCTTTTCGTTCGTTTTGCTCTTTTCTTTTCTTGGCTCCACTTAAATATCAACACAAAGAAATTTTAAAGATTTTCATGAAATTACAAATGCAACCTTGTTCAAAAACCAAAATTTAAGTTATTCCAACATATAAATATATATAATGAATGCATAAATTTATAATGGGGCCCCCTAAATTCGGGGGCCCGAAAGCGTTGCTTCCAGTCGCTTCCCTGTAGTTACGCCACTGGAACATATAGATCTGAACTAATCACATTAAACATTAAAGATCTGGATCTGTATTGCTAGACCGCTTCAAGGAGAGCTATGAAATGTTATCAGTTTGCACCAAACAGTAGAATGTAATATTCATTTGGAGATATTTCCCTTTTATCTCAATAATATTTTCTTAATTCATGGAGCATTGGGTAACGTGCCATGAAGTGGATAATATCTTTTTTATCTCTCATGTTACACAGAGTAGTATTATAAGCAATTATAGTAAATTATTATTTTCTTGAAGTTGAGTTAAAAATCATCACTATCAATTGTTTTACTATTAAAAAACTTCACATCTATCAATAACATTACAACATCTGCAACATATTAAAAGTATCAATTTTGACCTAATATTTCACTATTAAGTAGATTTTGTATTGGAGAATAATTATTTAATTGAGATAATGGTTACCACCTGACTATTAATATATATTTTCCAGAAATAAGTCTGTTGTCAACACAAGTAATCACTGGCTTATGAGGCGATTATTTTGTTTATTAAGATATACAAAATAAAAAAAAATGTATTACACATTTTTTGCAAATAACTTAAAAAGGTTATTATATCTATGACAACACTATATATGACAACACTATATGTTTTGTGAGCACTAATTTTATGAACTTATAAAAGTAATGATGTGCTTATATCACTAGTATACAC